CTGAAAATTATCTAACGACTGACTGAGACCTCCTAAATTTGCACTGGCTAGTACTACTACACAACACTTATGATTAGATAGCATATTGGTGATTTTTTGACACCCAGACAATCGAAAGATCGAGTGTTTTTTTCTTCGAATATCACCTTCAATGAAGATTATCAAGGGTGGTGTTAAGAATATATGGTATTTAATCTCGAAACTTTCTTGCAATGCCAGAAGTAAATTTTCCAGGTATTCATTGAGTTTTCGTAATGTGACCTTGATGCAGTATATGCGAATATCGAACTCCCAATTGATGATGAATTCGATTCTTGTAAATTTACAAATATTATGAGACCAGTTGATCCTTTTTATCTGCTTTGCATAATTCAGCATAATACAAAATATCAAATAAATTTAAATCCGACCATTTACACCATAAATATCATCAATCAAATTTATAAGAATTCTCTACGAACTAATAACTAATGATATTTAGAGGTTGGAATCAGCTCAAAAATCCTTAACCGGTTAATAACTGGTTAAGGAATTTTGGGCCAGTTCCGACCTTTAAATTAGCATGTATTTTTCCTTGAGTTGAAAGTAACTCGAGGTAGGGTTTTGTGAATAAACCAAGTGTTCAATAAAGATATTTGTTATTCATTTACTATTACCTTTTGCTGTGTCTTCATACAGGCGTGATTATGATAAAGTTATTATGATTAATTCGAAGAACTGAATTAAATCGTCTAAGTTTTATTTATAGCCTCCCGGCTAACAATGTATTAATTGTTTCTTCATGCTTGTGAGTCTCTCTACTGCATCAGATAAATCCTTGAATTTCCTTTTATTTCTCTCTTCTATAATCATATCTGCTTTTTTCTCACCGATTTCTGTAATTGTGTGCGACTTGCAGTATTGTCAGAGTATTTGTAAGCCCTGCAAGAAAAAAGACCAAAGTAATCATTCGTCAATAATTCCAGAGTAAGAGATTACTTTTATCATTATGCTTATTTGGAACGGCAGAAAATGCCAATTTTTATATTTTAGCTTGTCGAATTTAGTTTGGATTTGAATTAAAGAAAAATATCAATTATCTAACGTTGTTTAAGACATTGGAAAACTCTTCACGGTAAATGTATGTTCTATATTCATAGTCCTTACTGATTTGAACGATATCCGAATTTTTATCTGGATTTTTTTTGTTAAAAAAATGAATGATTACAAGATATGCATTTTGAGCCTTGATTGAGCATTGAGTATGCACTTAAAAATGCAAAATATTCTTCGTTTAAATCCGAAGATACTTTTGGTATTTTGTGAACATGTTTGAACAGTTGGGTCATAATTTAACTTGTGAGAGATTAGATTATAGGCCGAAATTGTTTCTAAATAGACACCTAAACAAGTTCATATAAAGAAAATAACATCTTTAATGAGTTTTATAACATTTAGAAAATTTGGTTAATTTTCTTTTTGCTTACATAATTTTCAATTCCTTGATTTTCAAACTTTTTAAATAATTCAAATCATTAAGTAATTAAAACCATCGGTTTTGATTACTAGCGCAATTATATTAAAAAAATTATATATAAATTAGTCCTGATAACGATAAAATTAATATATATTTATTATTGCTGATAATAAAAATATCATTTTATAATAAAAAAAATTGGTGATGGTTATGGTTGCAAGAAAAATCGATTTTTTGACAAAAAAAAAAAAGAAAGAATATTCACAAAATATGGAAACTAATTTCATATGCTTGGCACATTCAAGGTTAATTGCGGTTTCGAAAGAATTTGACATATCATTGTTGGCTAAAAATTATAAAAATAGTTTGATGCAGTATTATCTAAATAAATTGATCATTTCTATCGAATTTTTTTTTTTTTACATCGGCCGGTTTTGTTTAACCAATGAATATCGAAAAGTACGTTGAGGCAGCACATTTAATATTTTTGTTATTGAATAAATTTGTATTATAATGTAATAAAGATATATATATTTATATAAGTATTAAACAAAAAACACTAAGTTGAAATAGCATAGTTTTCTTAAAAAATAGATTATTCACAGAATAAACATTTTTACACATCAATTTGAAGCTAAAATTATCGATCGATCAACCGGAAGATCGGCCAATGACCGTGACTGTTAGGCAGGTAGAGTTTTCATTTGAAAATATTCAAAAAATATACAGATGAAGAAAGAAATTATTTGTTTTGAGTCAGCTTTAAAACTGTGTATCATAAAAGTTACAAATAAAAAGATTTTAAAAAAATCACGAGTTTTGAAATATTATTCAGTATGATTTTAAATATTCGATCCATCCTCTATTAGATTTTCGAACGGCAACTACATGGTATTCAAATTATATTAGAACATTCACTTCATATTTAGGCTTGATATATAGAAAGGTTCGTTATTGATGCGGTATTGCCTCAGAATTATTTTTTCGCTTCTCCTCACATTTCTTAAAAATATTAAATGATTGAGTTTTTACATGTAATATCCAAGAACTTATTTTTCAGTAGCATTTGACTTATGATTTCGAACTTTGTCACCCGTATCACACATAGTAAGGGCCTATATTATGAGGTATGGATCGGTAATAGATACATTATTGGACTGATCTAAAGGCCGTTAATCGGCCGCCAATACATACGTTATACGTTTATATCGTTGATTATTTTCTCTGACAACCGCCAAAATCTCAACAGCTAGTCGCGCTTCCGCATAAATATTCTTTTGTTGAGATTTTTATTATTTCTATGTTTATTCCATTAAAGAGAAAGTTGCTTATGGTTTTCAAAATAAATAAAAAACCAACCTTCATGGCAAGCTTAGAAATCTTGACTTTGGACAACCCATAATCAGGTAATATTGTTATGTGTATCTTGCTTGCGATATTAATTTTATTCGCGATGCGATCTAAGTTTGAATATTAAGTAAATTTTAAGAAATTAGATCCGATAGAAATGAAGCGCAAAACAAAAAAAAAAAAACTTACTTATATAGGATAAAGATTCATTTTAATGACAAATGTTAATAACAAATTTTAATAATGTACCGATCAATCTTTCAACGACATCTATAACCAAAATAGCCTCTGGCACAATCATCCACAATTTCTCCAAGATTTTTATAAATAAATTATTACTTAATATTCTACAGCGATTGATTTCGGGGATCAAATATTGTTTTGAAAAATTTCTTATAAAAATAATTAATTATACAGTAAGTACGAAATTCGTTAAGTATTAGGTTCGTTAAGAGAATATTAAAATTTATTTCGTACCTATATAATCGCGAGGCCATGAGCTTATAGGAAGGCCATCTTTAATTTTAAATCTTCCATCTTAAATGAGGATCCCGATGTTTTTAGGTTGGCAAATCTACTGGTAAAGTTGTCTGGAACAGTGTTGGCAATGACCTTGAAATGACCTCAAATAACTTCAAATGGCCTTATTGTTATTATATAATTCAAGTCAAATGATCTTATAATTTGCCATCATTGGCCTGAATATCTCATTTTCGCGAATGGAAAAATGGAAATCTATATTTCGACAGATTTGTTAATAAAACTTCGATTTAACTATTGATTATACTAACCTTTTAACGAGTCTTCTCTTTTGCATTGCACCAATTTTAAACGAACGTTTTTATTGCCTTTTTTTATAGCGGAAAAAAGAGTCAGCCCTTACGGCAATAAATCTTTCAATCTTATTATCGCCCTCTCGTTTTATATTGTTTTGAGTTTCAAAGATGATTTTTCAATAAGATTTTATTATAGTTTTGACAGTTAAACCTCGAAACACAAGAGCTCTACAGGCAACTAGTTCTACAAGCCTTGATTAATCCTTGTTTATCGGAAGGGTTTCTATTAAGAATGTTGAATGTTTTGGGCGAACAAGGAAGATAATTATTTTTTGTTTCTTGTTATGAACAATAATTAAAAACTGATCCGCACGTCACGTGATTGATGTTACACAAAACAGAGATTAAAAAAAATAATCGCCAAATTTTCTTTTCATGGTTTTGATCACATCGGAATAAAAAGTATGAATAATTTATTTTTTTTTTTTTATATTTTTGATCGTATTGCATTGGTTAAATAAATAGATAAACTCTCAAATACCTATTTAATCAGCCGAAACCCGGGGAAATACTCAATTTAAATATAATTAAAGTAACATTCAACGATCGAACATCATTAACCTTTTGCCCTTTATCTTGAAAGATTCGCTTATGAAGTATTAGGTAAGAAGATTTTTTCTTATTTTTATTTTTTGATTTTTCTATTTTATTATTTTTTATAGGTTAAATTGCTCTTAGAATGCAGTTATCGAATTGTTCTGCGACAGCGCAGTGGGATGATGTAGTAATGGATAGTTAAATTACAATTCGGTCCTTCTTATTTTTTAGTGCTCCTAACGGGACAAGTCGGTCGGGTTTTGAGAAGTTATTCGACCCGATCTGAATGAAAAAGGAAAACCTGTAAGTATTCGGGTCACAAATTTTTCATACCCCGAATCGACTTGACCCGAGTATAGTTTAACCCGTATAAACCCGAGTCAAGACTCGAATTTTTTACTCTAAAAAATTGATCTACAAGACAATGAAAATGATCGCCAAGTACATGTAGGTCGCACAAATTATCATTACGGCGCGAATTTAAAGATATTATTCATTATATATATGTATATTCAACATTAAAATTCAAAATTTATTAATTAACAAAAATTTATTTTATGCCTGCCAGGACTTCAAGCACATGCATGCACTAATTGCATCTGAATTTAGACTGCAACTTTTGGCAGCTACCAAAATTTTTTTTTTTTTTCGTTCTCAGCAATTATCCATTTAGTAAGAAACTTACGAAAGTCCGTTTGTGTAAACTTGAGAATAAGAATAAAGTAAATAAAAAAATAATAACCAAGAAATCTAAATTCTTTTTTAATTTTATAACGCATATAAAATTATAAATATTCAATTATACTTGCTTTAGAAGGAATCTATTTCTGACCTACGAATTTATCTAATGTACTTTGATCTTCTGCCACTGATTTTTTTGCTTTTTTGTTGGGCCTTGGATCTTTTTCTGGATGATGAACTTCTGCATGACGCCAAAGATTAGTTGCATTAGAATTACCAATTTTATGAAGCCAGATTTTCTTTTTCCTAAAATTTTAAGAGTATTTAGTCAATATAATCAAAATAAACTAATAATTATCGGGTTGATTCGGGTCAAAACCCGGGTCAAGAAGATGAATGACCCGACCCGGCGGGTCGGGTCATGCGGGTCACGGGCCATCAAAATTCATAATACCGACCCGACTTAAAAGTCGGGTCGGGTCAAATTAACCCGGGTCGACTCGTATCGTTCGGAGCACTATTCGAAACTCTCATGGTCGAAAATATAGTAAATCAATAAATAGTTGAAAGATGAATTATATGTCAAAAATCTCATCAAAGACGAAATTAAAACATGTTTTTGACTTTGAAATTTGCTAAAAAATGATATTTGAACTGCAGCTATTAGCAAATTAATTAATTATTATTTTAGAACAAGCTCTTTGAGATACAACGAAACCATATTACATGTGCGTAGTGCAAAAGATGAAATTACACATATTTCAATATTAGGCAATTATTTTACAAAACAAATTTATGAGAACTTATTAGTGTGTATTCCATTTATTGCAAAACTCAATGTAACTGTCGTTTTTCGAAATTATTAAAACCACAAACTAAATGCAATGCATATCTGATACACACTGCTTTGAGAAGCAGGGTGGACATACTTCATATTATCACATTTGTTGATCATTTTGCCGATCATTTGCCGATCATTTGCCGATCATT